AATTTATGTATTTAATTTTGATGTTATAGTTGTTGTTCTCGTCGGATTTTGTCAAATGTCTTAACGTTTTTTTCTGTTATATTCGTGTGTTATGGTAAAGATAATTAATCACCCCCTTCATTTATTAGATTTAAGTTTGGTTCAACGAAATTTATACGATATATTTGGTTTACAGTTTGATTCAGAAGAAACACCAACATAGCTAGATAATACAATTAATTATCTAATTACTACCATTTGATATTAATAAGTATTGTAATTTTCATTGTTATTAATAAATGTAATGTCAGTATTACAAATCTAATCTTTAATCAATCCTAATCCTATCTTATTTTTGGGAAATATTTTTACAAATTCAAATGTGACGTCACTTTGTGTGTTTTTTAGAATTTCAAATGTGACGTCACTTTGTGTGTTTTTTAGAATTTCAAATGTGACGTCACTTTGTGCGTTGAGGCTTTGGCTAACTCGGCTGTGTATTTTTTTATGTGTTGGATTAAGTTGTTTTATGTAATGTATCCGTTTTTATTCTGTAGTTAGTCCCCACTTTGGTTTTATCATGTATATCTATTATATAGTCATTTTATAAAATTTAGTGTTTGCAAAATTATAAATTATTCTAAATAATAAGGATGTTCTTGTCCCAGGCAAAAAACCCTGGCGGTGTAAGGCGCAACTTTTTGGAAGTTTTGGTCCTCGGTGCTCTTCAGCTTTGTTCTTGTTTTGGCTTTCAAACTTTTTTCATCTGAGCGTCACTGGTTGGTCTTGTGTGGACGAGACGCACGTCTGGCGTATTGAATTTTAAGCCTAGTACCTTTTGTTAGCTATTTTTCGTGTGTTTCTTTGTCCTATATGTTCTCCCATTTATTTGTATTGTGGTCCTGTCATGTGATGTTGTCGTATTGGTGTTGTGTTTGACGTTGCCATAAAAGCGGGAGGTTTGTCTTGCCACAAAACCAGGTTCAACCCACCATTTTTTTCTTAAAATGTCTTGTACCAAGTCAGGAAAATGGCCATTGTTATATTATAGTTCGTTTCTGTGTGTGTTACATTTAAATGTTGTGTTTTTGTTGTGTCGTTGTTCTCCTCTTATATTTGATGCGTTTCCCTCAGTTTTAGTTTGTAACCCGGATTTGTTTTTATCTCTATCGATTGATGAGTTTTCGAACAGCGGTATACTACTGTTGCCTTTATTTGGTATCCAGTATAATGATGGTAAATTTTCTTCGTTTTCTTTGATGTTGATTCCAAAAGAAAGAAGGACAGATTTGTGATTTTGGAAAATTTCGTCCTTGGTAAATGATGTTAAAGAATATGTAGGGTTAAAGAGAGTTCAGCTATGTTCATTTTGAAGCATTTTTGAATTTCTCATAAAATTATATTGATGAATCGTATCTTATCACCACCTTTGATATACAACGTTTAGATAGACAACTCGAGTAGCATTAAAATGAAAGATCCTAACCGATTAAAATACACGAAGATTAAATATTTATTAAATTAATATAATTATCAGATAAAATATGGAAAAATTCAACATGTCAAATATAATTGCGAAAAAGAGAGTTAAATTGTGTTCATTTTGAAGCATTTAAAAACAAATCGTATATATTTAAGGTAATGACACGATACGACGGTCTTTGTCTCATCTCATTCGCAACATGTTTTCGTAGTCTTAGATCATTAGATGCCAGAACAGTCATCTTATCTGTAAATTTACTAATTTTGTCATATTTCCTATTGTTACATTTGGACGAAGAGTGGATTCGCATTGTGAGTGAAACTATCATAGCATGAGACGCTTATTCTGTTGACGCACCATGGCTTGCTCCGTTTAAGAGTTCATGCAATGACCCCATATTTAGTTTGTTTACCTTGATTTGTTTTTTAGTAGATTTATGAGATTTCAGATCAACATCGGTAAACTACAGTTTCCTTTCATTAATCTGCAAGAATGTCTTATATGTAAAAACTCAACTACCAAAGGTAAGATAAAAGTTCAGATTAAATTGCCAGTTTTCATTGAGATCATTATTTCATTTTAAAATCCGATAGAAGAACAACATGCAAATCTGTTATCATAGTTCCAAGCACTACAAAGTTGTCAGATTCTGTAATGACCATTTTTGTCTGATTTTTTTCTGAATTTGTCATTTATTCAATTTTTTTTATACTTTTTGCAATTTCAGTGTCAAATAATGGATCTTGTCATACTTCCTTATTTAGAAACTATTCAGAAACTAAGGTTCCAGCTACCTCTGTGAAAGTTGACCTTAGATGGATTGACTATTATTTTTAGGCCCCTCACGGTCATTTAGCTTTTCACGTGATTTGGTACTTAAACAAAGTTGGCTTTCAAATTTTAGTGTTCGAGCGTTCTTTACTCATAAAATTGATAAAGTGTCAATCAATACATGTAATATATAATTTACAATAGCATCAATGTTCAAATCTCATAGATCCCTTCAGTCGATACAAATCAAGGTGAAAAACAAAACAACAACTGAGTAAATCACGAGAACTCCAATAGGGAATCAATGTGTGCGTCGACAGGGTTAGCGTTTACTGCTCTGCGTGCATCACTCAACATCAGAATTCACCTCTGTGAAAGTTGACCTTAGATGGATTGACTATTATTTTTAGGCCCCTCACGGTCATTTAGCTTTTCACGTGATTTGGTACTTAAACAACGTTGGCTTTCAAATTTTAGTGTTCGAGCGTTCTTTACTCATAAAATTGATAAAGTGTCAATCAATACATGTAATATATAATTTACAATAGCATCAATGTTCAAATCTCATAGATCCCTTCAGTCGATACAAATCAAGGTGAAAAACAAAACAACAACTGAGTAAATCACGAGAACTCCAATAGGGAATCAATGTGTGCGTCGACAGGGTTAGCGTTTACTGCTCTGCGTGCATCACTCAACATCAGAATTCACCCACAGTCCGAAAAAAGATAAAAAAAAAACAACACTTTATAAATTGCATGCGTCCGAAGCGCTTTTCTAAAATTTACCTTCATGAGAAACGCTCGAAGCCCAATATTTGAAGGCCGAGGATGTATAAGAGCCAAAACAGTTGAAGAGCTATAGGACAAAAAAAACCACCAAAGATAATAGCCAAATTCATCTAAGTCAACATTGCCTCAGGGAGTTGAAACCTAACTTTCTAAATAATTTAAAAATTTAAAAACAGACAATTTAAGAAAGGTGTGTTATAAATCATGTCGGTACCGAAGTATTGACTACTGAGCTGTAGAAACCCTCGGGGACTGATAGTCCATCGGAAGCGGTATCGGCCTAGTGATGTAAAAAATGAAGACAACACTTATAAAAATGTCATGCTTCTGAGCGTTTTTTTGGATTTGCCTTCTTTAGGAACGATCAAAGCACAATATTTGATAGCCAAGGGTGTTTAAGAACCGAAACAATTCAAAAGCTATATGACCAAGAACACCAAAATTAATAGCCAAATTCATATAAGGTCAACTTTGCCTGAGGACGTTGAAACCTAAGTTTATAAATAATTTCTAAATTTAAAAGCGGACAATTTAAGAAGTGTCACAATCGGGAAAAGGACACAATTGATAAAAATGGCAAAATACAAACAGACGACTGCTCTGGTATCTACAGATCTAAGACAGCAAAGAGCATGTCACTCATGAGTTGAGACATAGACAAATTCTATCGGACAACCAACTCTAGATGATTACCGGAAATCGTATGAAATGTCGATTTCAGTCGTACTTCCTCATAACTCTGTTGGAGCAATTTGTTTATCAAGAGCTCACCTTTGTTAATTAAGTCAGTAAAATGTGAACAAGCTCAAGAGTAACGTACTAATCGTGATATGTAAATGTTAAAGGATAGGGGATATATTACTGCTTAGAAATAGGAAATTGATAATTGGAAAGTTGAATAGAAATGTGGAGCGTAGACCTATACAAAGTTTTGATATTACTGCAAAATTGTAATGATTGCGACTGAAGATTTGGGAGTAGATCATTATTTTGTTTTAAAATCCACGTCTGATTGACACCACTTTAGCTGAATTTACTTCATTACAAAATTTATGAAGGCATCTTTTACTGCTGTAATAATGGCAGTCAGAACTTTCGAAAGATGGTGCGGCTATATATGGATTCCTTTTTTAATATAACGATACTATGTCAAAAAGCGATATCTATATTTCTTTTTTAGCTTTCGGACATGTTAAGCCAGCCATATCATTTATTGATTGTAGGCAAGCTTACAACTTACACGAATAAGTTTAAGATCAGTATCGGTACATTTGATGACATTGATAGAAAAACATTTAAAAACAACGGATTTTGGTAGTAGAAAATCTATTTCAAACTTGAATTCATTTTGATAACTTTCACTGAAACAAATTCCACGAAAAGATAAAAAATTGATCTGTTGATGACAATGTACTATCAAAATTAGATTCGGGCACAATGTTCACTGACCACCCTTCTCACGGTTCTGTCAAAAACTCTTGACGGCAGGGATATGCTGTGTCACTATTAAACTTGTACATTTAGGATTTGCACGGCGCACTGTTATTGATTGTGCTCATTTTGAAATATTTGGGCATCTTCTGATTTTTCCTTATTGATAAAATACTCCGGCTTATTTTTATGCCTTTAAAAAGACATGTACAATTCAGAAATGATCGTTTTCTTTGTCGCATAGTTGCATTACCAGCCGTCTCAAATATTTGGCCAAAAGCGGAGAGTATAAATATTACCAGAGGAGTCAACAATTGAAGGATTTTTGTAGTTGTACGAAATGACGAAAATTTAAGATATCAGATGATTGCATTTACGATCACGACTATACGTCCAAGATATAGTTGCTTACTATCCTATAGTTTGTCGTCTATTCTTGCTTATTCATATTATGAAAACAAAATGAGTATACTGATGTGTCTCAGAGGATGGTAAATAATATCGGTTCATAAAGGAATTGATGCAACTTGATTAAAATAAGATAATACACATGTAACAATTTAATAAACTCTGCGTTTTGTTTCTCTATCCAGACGCTGCTGTTGTAGTGGTAGTATTTCCTTGTAATTGAATAACAAACAGTAATGTCATCACCTATGATAATAAATAAAACATATAAATAAATAAAAAATAATATAATATACGTAAATCACTCACAAATTAACGAACTTGTTTAATTTTTCCCGATACTCTGAAAAAAGGAAATGCAAAGATACGAATCATTTTCAAAAGAAAGAAGATAATAAAATAAATGAATATCAAAACATAAAATTCAAACATTTACGCAATGAGTTATAAAAAGTGTATTTAAAACACAAAATGACGGTACGAGCAATTTGCCAACCCACCAAGTGTTTTTACGGTCGTGGAGAAAAACTGTTTATGTACTCACATAACAGTTTATTTATGAAAACTACTGTGAAATAGCGCTATGTTAAGATTGGACCTTGCTACCTGTCATCGACTGTAGTCAGACTAGACAATCTCAAACAGAAGTCAAATCAACGTTCACCAGGGCACACCTCCCACTTTTGGCAGTGATTAAATCAAACCTGATTAGATAAAAATCGCCTTAGAAGTGGAAGGCTGCACACAATTAATCCTGCCTAAAATTGGTATATCCGAGTGTTCTGTCTACGAAATTGGACATTCACTGCTTCAACCAATGCTGCTGGTATCCAAATTTTACGGAGTATTTCCGCACAGACAGTCCGTATGGGTCTTCGTCAACGGTGCGATTGACAGATAGAGCCATGGATGCGTCATAATATTGGCACCAACTTAGTGCGTGTCGAAGGAAAAACGGCTCAATGTTATAGAGACCATTTTTCACAGCCAAATATGCTCAATCTTATTGACAGACGAAGGGAGATATTTCAGCAGGTCAATGATCGACACCATATAACGAGGATAACCATTGATTTAATTTTGTTTCCCAGAACAACATTAATGTATTACCATGGCCCCAAAACTCGTCTTATTTGGACGTATATAACATCTTAGGATAATCTTGATAGACCCCACCTTGAACATTTGACCAACTCAGTCAGGCGTTGCATATTGAATGACAAATGATACCAATGGTCCGAGTAAACAAAATTTGATTCGAACCATGCCAGGTATATTCAGGACAGTGTTACCCGCATATGGTGGTAACAATAAAGACTGAGTTTAACGTCACCGGAAATTGACTAAATTATCAGTTTTCGATGTTGTGTTTTTTTGTACCGTTGTTTGCCTGTTTGTCTGTTTGTCTTTTTCTTTTTTAGCCATGGCGTTGTTAGTTTTTTTTCGACTTATGAGTTTGAATTCCCTTTGGTATCTTTCGCCTCTCTTTTATAACGTGTATGGCCGTTTCCAAATCATTGTTCAGTATCCATGACATGCATTTGTGAAATCTTAGCTCAAATTAAAACCACTTTAGTAAAATATCGATAAAAAACCAAGTTCAATTAGGAAAAAAACATCAGGGATTCTTTTTGGCAGAATAAATATATAGTAAAACGTTAAAATAAATAAAAATGTAGGAGGGCAAATACACTGATTCTGATCGTAATCATTCTGTCAGACTATCTGGTTTTACACGTTGTATTACGCCATTAGATTGTTGGGCATAAAATGTATATTAGTACGCTAAGCAAATAGCTGAATTTCCTAATCGGAATAATTTCCATATCGCAACTATGAAGGTAAATTTGAAAAATTATAAAATTAACAGAATTCTGAAGATAGGGATATTTAAAGGGTCGTATATAGAGTCTTTAATTTTCTTTTAATACCAGTAGAGTTATGCAAATCCACTTGAATTCGAAAATTGAAGATTCTATATGAAAAATGAAAACAACACGTTATTAATTTCATGCGTCCGAAGCTCTTTTCTGGATTTTTCTTTCATCAGGAACGCTCAAAGCCGAATATTTGAAAGCCGAGGATGTATAAGAACCGAAACAGTTGAAGAGATATATGACCAAAAAGTACCTTAAAATAACTAAATCCATCTAAGGTCAACTGTGCATAAGGGAGTTGAAACCTTACTTTTTTTTATAATTTAAAAATTTATAAACGGACAATTTTAGAAGAGTTTATTATTAATCATGTCAGTACCGAAGTACTAACTACTGAACTGATGATACCCTCGGGGACTGATAGTCCACCATCAGAGGTATCGACTTAGTGCTGTTAAAAATGAAAACAACACGTTATTAATTTCATGTGTTCGAAGCGCTTTTCTGGATTCACCTTCATCAGGAACGTTCCAAGCCGAATATTTGAAAGTCGAGGATGTATAAGAACCTTAACAGTTGAAGATACAATGTTCTTTAAATAATTCAACATTTTAACAACATATTCATGTGACATAAAAATTTATACAGTGTTACATATCGCTTTTAAAAACAATATTGCAAATCTTACCTTTTTTATTAAAAGTTGTTATTTTGTATCGAAAAGACAATAGATAGCAATACATGTACTTTCAATCGAATTTTGGGTTTAGTTAATAATGTCCTTCTTATATATTTCTTTTTGTTATTACTGATAATTTCGCAAATATTTATCAATTTTACATCTTTTTAATATAAAAATAATGAGATGTGGTATAATTGCCAATTAGACAGCTATCCACCAAAGTTCCAATGAAGTGGATGTAAGCAATTATAGGCAACTGTACGCCCTTCAACAATGAGAAAATCCCATACCGTATAGTTAGCTATAAAAGGCCTCGACAAGAAAACAAATGAAACGATTGAGAAAACAAACGGCCTACTTTATAATAAAATAACTTACAAAAAACAAGTATGACAGACATGAACCAACGGCAACCACTGAACTATAGACTCCTGACTTGGTACAGGCACAAAAAAAATGTGGCGGGGTTAAACATTTTTGAAGATACCAACCCTCCCCTAACCTGGGACAGTGGTGTAACAGTACATCATAAGAACAAACTATAAATCTTTTAACCATTGGATTTTAGGTCAAGTGTAAGGAAACATGCCAAAATGTTGTTCAAAAACAGTTAACACATGAATCTATGATACCATGATTTTTAGTTTAGGTGGAGTTGCAATGGTGTTTCAATGACTTTTTCCTTTGTATTTATATTCGTTCATGATGGCTATGAATATTTCTTCATATTCTTTTCGATGTATATTCTTAAATCATTATGTCATGAATTTTGTGTTTGAATAAATCGTTTTTAAACCATGATAGCTTTTTCTTGAACTCAAACTTACATCTGTAAAATATTTCTTGAATTCTGACTGATCTACATGTTTGTTATCTACAAAACAAAAACAAAAGTTTTTATAGTGAAAAAATGCGATTAAAACAAATAACCGTATTTTTTTCATTAAAAAGAGTTACTAATCGAATGAAGAGGCGGTCAATCATACCTAGGACTAAAAATTCAAGGTATTAGTCCCAGATCATACTTCCAACAATTGGCAAACATGTTTGAGCCTTTTGTGGGAGATGAGATGTATATAATATGATTATGTTTCCTGGGAAATAATAAAACTTACGTTCTCTTAAAAAGTATACAAATTTTGAAAATACCAGGAGAGTTCTTTTTCGATCATAAAATCAGTGACAGAAAGAAAAAAATATGATTGAAAAAAACTCATCAAAAATACCAGGCTTATAATTTTGTACGCCAGACGCGCGATTCGTCTACAGAATACAAACCAGTAAAGCTTGAATCAAAAAGGTTAAAAGGCCAAATCAAGTACGAAGTTAAACAGCATTGAGGATACAAAATTTCGAAAAGATTTTGAATAATATAGCTTATGTAATCTGTTCCTGGGGGTACAAAATAATTTTTTTAACAATACAAAGTTTTGTAGTAAACTGTTAATCTATAAATAAGACCATACCAATAAAATTAACTTACGATCAGTATCCATTCTTTGATAGAACAGCTCGAGGTCATGATTAGATATAGTGCCATCTTGGTTGACATCAAGTGTAAGAAACAGACCCTGTGCTATGGTATCCATTTCTGGTTGATTGTTAGTAAATCTCCCGATGAATTCTGCTTTCGTTATAACACTGTCGTCTATAAAAAGAGTGCATATTAGAACATTTTCGATAGCAATTATGATATGGTTGATAATTCAAAAATACGATCTATTTTTCTCAGTTTAGAATTAAAAAATAGTTCTCAAAGTGATCGTATTGCTGAACTCTTTGTTTTCCGTTCAATGATTTGTGAATCATACGTTTTTCTCTGTCTTTTTTTCCATTTTGCCGAGGTGTTGTCTTTGATTCATTGATACTGATTGTTTATTTAATCTTTTCTGAAATCAATTATGTTTGATGTTCTCTCTAAGACGATGCATCGTTATTAGAACTTTTTTGGGGACAAATATATATCTTGCCTAAAAATGTGTAAAATATCTTTAAAGAGCGATAACTCTACTTTACCTGTAATATAGAGTGTACTATAAATGCTATACATTCAATGTAAAAAACACATAATAGCATGGAACAGTCTGATAATAATGTAAAAAGTTTTACCGTAATTTTGTTTTGGACAGAAGTAGTACATGTAGTAAGTCTTTCAATTTGAGTTTATCTGACTACTACTTACTTACAAACTATTGTACCAACTGAAACGGTATGTTCAATCAAGTTGATTTTAATAATAGTATTTGAAAACGCCTTCTAATGTATGGACGTAATATCAATCCAAAATATCAAATAATGAACGTACTGTTATGATCGTAATCAGTGAAAATTACATTCATATCCGAGGCAGTAAATTTTCCATCTTTATTTGTGTCAGCACTTTGCCACAAAACAGCAACTTGCTGTCCCACAATATGTCGTAATTTATCTAGTGCACTCTGTACACTCACATTCAAAGTAGTGGGGAGAACTGTGGTACTTGTTCTGTAAACATTATATTTAAATTAATGCATTTAACGGACATTAAATTAGGTAAGATTGGATATAAATTAATGTTACAATTTATGAAAATCATTATCATACATTCCTCATTTTCAAAAGTTTTAGTGCATCTGACTTTTCCACTTGTATTGAATACAACATGATATTAAAATAAGGAGATGCGATATAATGTCAATGAGAAAACTATTCATAAAGGAAAATAAACAACGATATGAACAGTTAAAGGTTGCCATACGACCTTCAACCATCAAAAAAATCCATACCGTAAGGTAAGGAAAAACAACCCGGTATGACAAAATTGGAAACAGTTCAAAAAGAGAAAAACAACAGGCTGATTTGTACTTCTACAACGAACAAAAACACATGTGACAGACATCAAACAACACCAACCACTAGATTACAGCTTTCTGGCTAGGGAGAGTCACATAAAGAATATGGCAGAGCTTTCAATATTTGTTAACGCTCAACCCTCTCTATACTAGTAACCTGGAACAGCTTGTAACCACATGATGTATATAACACTTTATAAATATAAAAAAGCTCTTTTCTGTATTTACCTTCTTCAGGCAAATCCAAAAATTTGAAAGTCAACATAGTATGAACAATTGAATAATGTAGGAGCTGCTATAAATGACAAACAGGGACACAAACAAAGATAAGCCGAATCTTCCTATAGTCATTTTACCGGAGGGTGTTGGAAAACTCGTCTCTAAATAATTCCGTAATCTTTCATCGGAGAATTCGAAAATTTATTTAATAAATCATGTCAGTACCGAAGTACTGACTCCTTTGTTGATAAAACCAGCAGTCAACCAGAAGTGATATTAACCCAGTGTTAGAAAATGAGAATAGGAAAAAAATCTAAAACTAAAGAACAAATTGTTAAAATCTATGTTTAGGTCTTGATTCATGATATGAAAACCACTTAAGAACGGAGAAAAGACACATTATGTCTGTTTAGGTTGCTCACCCAATTTTGTCAATATAGCGGAACTATAAACAACTGTCATACAAGTGTGAGGTTTAGCTAGCTATAAAACCAGGTTTACCCACCATTTTCTTCGGAAAATGCCTGTACCAAGTCAGGAATATGAAAGCTGTATTTCACTCTTTCCGTTGGTGCATAACGTAAGATTTTGTCAGTCTTGATGGACTTCTTCTTTTTGAAATTCCTTGGAGTTTTTACACATATAAACGATCTAAGGGTACGCATGATTAATAGAAAAAGGTAGAAGATTGCAAAGGGACAATAAGAAATCATAAGTATAAAGAAATTCAGACAATACCTTCATACAAATCGAAAAAAAAACCTACTATAAGACACAATAGTTTACAAAACACTGTAGCTGCATCCAATTCGATGCTCATGGTAAGAACAAATTCGGCGATAAGTCTTAGTCGGAGATGTCACAATTCGGCGATAAGTCTAGTCGGAGATGTCACAATTGGCGATAAGTCTTAGTCGGAGATATCACAATCGGCGATAAGTCTTAGTTAAAGATGTCACATTCGGCGAAAAGTCTTAGTCGGAGATGTCACAATCGGCGATAAGTCTTAGTCGGTGATGTCACATCCGGGGGAAAAGAGGACTAGATTCTGGATACGACAATATCCGCAGATATTCTATAACGGTCATCTAAATCATGTTGGAATCAGTAAGATTTTCGAAGAGATGACTTAAACTTTGTCCAAATGAGTCCTCTTTAAAGCAGGGATTTGAAACTCAAAATAAATGTGGATTTTTCAATGAAAGCATGCATGATTAATATACAGTACCTCTAAAATTTACAGCTGAAATATTAGCTTTGTCCTTTAAAACGTGGATATTTTGTTAGCACATTTCACTTGGTATTACGCCTTGGTAATGATTTGCTTTCAAACATATTTTAAATTGGTATGGAGGTAATTTTATTTCTGATAGGGTTATCTTACAGAAAGGTCTGATGAATATGGATGTCTTTTAATCCTCTGTGAAAAATTTGATATCGGTCTAAACTTAAAACGCTTTTCAAAGATTCATTCATTCTGCTAAGTATTTTTGTCAAAATTTACATTCTTGGTCTATGAAAAAGTGTCTGTCTCAAAAGTGTTTTCACTATTTTTACATGTCGACTTCTCTTTTAACTACGGTTCAAAATCATATGAAATAATTGATATGACAAGTGCCTAAATTGTTAAAGTGTGTAAAATATTATTTTGATAAAGATTTTACTCGCATTGTTTTGGGTAAAAAAACTAAATGTAAAAATGGCAATTTTCATGACATCATAGTGACATGTAACCTTTCTGCACTCATATGTCCATATCATATCATCCTATACATTTATTTTGAAAAAAATACATGCATTTGAAAGGCTTAAATAATTTAATAAGGGACCAAATTGTATCTCTTCCATTAGTTCAGCTCTACAACTTTTCCGTTGGTGATTTTTTTTTATTATTTGGCCTGAAGGATCATTGAAGAGACATTAATTGTCTAAATGTTCACCATGATACCGTTTAACCTGATTCTTCTATTTGATACAGTGTTTTGGGCATATATTATTAATTTACTCACAGTGGAACAGCAAGGCTACTGCATATCATTAATGCAAGACAAAGAATATTAAACATCATGCTGTTCGTTAAGATCTGGAATATATATTTTTCATATGATTTGGTAAACATAATGTAAAAATATGAAAGTTAAACTTTTTAATTTTTTTTTTAAATTTCTGATGGCAAAGATACATTGTAATAAAATCAGGTAATTTTCGTAGAGATAGCTCGATGAAGCTTCTTAAGCATGTCAAAATAATCGTTTATGATCTTATTCGTCATAGCATACATTTAGCTAACAATGTAACCTCTTTTTTAAAAGTCCTTATGGAGCCCAACAACTTCATGCTGATTAATTTAATATTGATGTTTATTACTAGCATTAAAGAACGAACCACTTTTAAATAGTCAACAATATGTTTTTATGCATAAGAACTATGGCTAAAGAAATGGTTCTGAACTACATGTAAAATAAAGCAAAAGGAGACATGATAAATTCACAATATGAAAAACTGTAGATCATCATTAGAAAATGTTCATGCAATACATACTTGTGAGGTAGTATGCGATGTTTTGTGGATACAAAAACACAAAAGAAACATATTTTACAATGATGCGACGTGTTTGTGTTGTCGTATATTATTCAATACATAGGCATGGCCGAATAATTTGAAGTTGGTTACATTTGCGTATTCTCATTCTAAAAACATATGGTAAACCGTTTAAAAAAAAATGTAAATCCACATTTACACCGTTGAAAGAATTTAAACTGTACTTACATTGATCTACAAGAAAGACTGAAGAACGGCAATACAGAGGTTATCAGTTTTGTCTGGTGAAATGCAAAGATAAGAAACGTCATGTCTCAGATTAGTTATTAAAGACACGTGCCGTGGGCATGAAATCAGTAATATATGTTTTTTTTGTATTTCGATCTTTATTCTGCATTTCATCAAATTGATTGCCGACAAAGATACCTAATTATAAAACTGCCGACCATGAAATGATATCTCTAGACTATTGGACTATTTCAACTTACAGCGGAATGTCGCGTGGTACTTTTTTTAATGTGAAAGACAGTGATCGAGATGTCAGAAGCGAATATAATTACAAGGATTAAAATCACAAAAGCCCCGAACTGAACAGCTAAGATGTATATGGTTATCTTAGTTAGAAAAAAGAAACACTAAAGAATGAAAATTTAAGCAGGTCTTGTTCCACTGATGGCATATGTCTAAAAAGTAGAAAATACCAAAAGGCAATCACACAAATTGAAAAAAATACAGATCATATCTTGACCAAATAAAAAAAACGAAAATAGAAAAACAACAGTTTAAAAGTTTTGTTTTCAACCGACCCTCATTGTCAATTTCCACATGTAAGTCAAGATATGAGGCAGACTTAACTGTATCTGTTATACCCTTTATCTAATTAAAGTTCGATGGGATAGATGCGTTCAACATAGTTACTAAACTGTGAACTATGAACTGCTTTATTTTCCGGGGCACCTTATTTACTCCCAGATTTTTGGTGTGGTTCGTGTTTGTAAATTTTTAGTTTTCTGAGTTGTGTTTGAGGACTGTTGTTTTTCTTTTCGTCTTTTTTTTCTCAAGGCCATTTCGTGTTATTCTTTTTGATTGCCCCTGTCCTTTTCTACCTGAATTACATTATCTATAAACTAAATACTTTTACAATTTTTTTTATCATTTTACTCGCCACTACTTAATACTGTCTAATGGGCGGATGGTACTCTAGGGAATGTTAGTCTACCAGTAAATTATCGAACAATTGGTAGTAATAACAAATATGAAACAGTCACGTGTTTTTGAAATAATCTTCACTAGGAACGCTAAATATTAAAAGCTTGGAAAACCCAAACTTGAAACGTTTCAGTACTTAATTCCAAACGAGATAAACAGATTAGACCAATACACTAGAATGTCAAATTTGCCTGAGGTGATTGTAACCTTTGTTTTAAAAGCGTTCACACAACTAATGATCTGGAATTTATTACATAATAGTGTGCATGTACAGAAGAACTGTCTACTGAATGCATGGTACTTCGGTGAAAGTATTCCATACATGTTACCGTCCGTACGGCATATCATATGGTATAAACTTAAGACAAAGATTTGGATAGCCAAGAATATTAATACGCTTTCCTTATGTATCGACGATGCAAACAGTTTTTGTTTGGTAATTTTAAATAGTTAGATTGATGTAATATATCTAACTTGAAATAAGGAGGAAAGTTGCCTTTGTATTTGAAAGAAAGCAGTATAACGTTTCAGATTATTTCTCATTTTATATCTTATTTGCTCGGCGGTCGCACTGTAGTGTGCTCGCCTCGAGAGTTCGGAAGGTCATTGTTTCGATCCCTTGTTGAGTCTAGCTAAATATTTGAACATGTGAATTGCTCCGTGCCCGCTAAGCATCAAATACTTAGGACTTAGAGCAATGACTGGTCACGAAGATATGCTCGGGTAGGGTGACATGTGAACTAGTTCAGTACAAGCCTGACTCAGCGTTAGTCTTGTACTAAGCAGGTTTAGTATTCATATTATATCAACTGTTAGTCGTCTAGATATGGATGTGATATTTATGTTAAACATCGATTAACTATCTTAAGGAGGCTCGAGGGTACAAATAAATCAGCAAAAATTTTAAAATTTTTTTCTCATTACAAATTTTATTTATTTCACTATTAGTTGTTACTTTATGATATTCTACAAAAATCGACCAAAAAAATCAATGCGTTTTGGCCCCAGATGACTTTTTAAATGTTTATATCATTGAAAAATCTACAAATTATCTCCCTTTGGTGAAAAAATTCCATTTTTTTTTGCATTAAAATTGAAATATCTTTTTCAAATCATCGGTGACCTATATTTTTTATTATTTTTTAGATGGCAAAAGAAAATATTACTAGTATCATTAATTGATATCCATTATAATGGGCCAAAGTCCTGTTTTATGTACTATTGTCCACAAACTTTATATCTTTAGGAATTTATAAATTGATTTAAATGAGTTAAAAACCAAAACTATATGTTGATGTAAAAGTTTTAAAATACCATTTTCATAAATAGCATTGTCAAAAACTGAAAACAGAAGTATTTAGAGGAAATGCCCTAATTGTCAATATTTCCGATTCGTTTATTTGTTTTAATGTAAAAATGTAAATCTGTCAAATTAATTTTGTAGAGCAAAATGTAGTATGCACTATTTTTTTTCAAATTACACACTTAATTTTGCGTAGCCTGTATGGAACGCCACAGCTGTCTTATGTGGTACTCTGATATTACGTTATGTTGTTTTATTATTACTTGATGATATTTTGTCTTTATATAATATGGTTTTGACATTACGTAAAGATGTTTTAATATAACTCAATATGGAATAGTCATTATTTAATAATATTTCGATATTCAATGATATGGTTTCGTATTGACTTGATATAGTTTTGTCATTACTTAATATGGCTTTGTCATTACTCGACGTTGTTTCACCATAATTTAATGTGGTTGTGTCATTAGGCAATGTGTTTTTACATTACTTGATGTGTATGTGGCTTAAAGTTATGTAGTTTTTCATTACATGATGTGGTTTTGTTTTTTCGTGAAGATGATTTGCTAATTCTTTATATGCCTTTTACATTAAATAATGATGTTTCAAAATTTGACGATTTTACACTACATGATGTGTAAGTTCCAGTAATTGATGACGTGTGGTCCTGTCATTCTTTGATGTGGTTATCACATTACTTGATGAGGTAAAACCACGTGACCATGCATTAGGGAAAAACTACTATTTTTAAAACCGATTTCCATGTTTTATGTGCCTCGGATGAGTGTGGCCATCCATCGAGTTAGAGTTCAAATTAAAGTTTGGGTTACTGTTCGAGCTAAACTTCGAGTTAGTCTTCGATTTCGAGTTAGAATTCAAGTCATAATTAAAATTAAAGTTTGAGTTAACATTGAGTTTCGAGTTGAACTTCGAATTTGAGTCACATTTAAATGTAGAGTTCGAGTTACAATTCGACTTCAGCTTTGACTCACCTTTTGAGGTAGAGTTCGAGTTAGACTTCGAATTTATGTCTCATTTAGGTTAAGATTTCGAGTTGAAATTCGAGTTATCTGATATGTGTTCGTATTTAAATTATCCATAGTGGATCAAGGGCTTTTGCTAGGGCTTCCGAAAAGAGGGCTTAGGGGTATGCCTGAAAAAGATAACAATGTTATAGTATACAAAACACAACAAAGAAATCTAAATTAAGTTAGATGTGGCGGAGTTAAACATGTCTGTGAGCGCTCAACCCTGATCCTAACCTGAGACAGTAGTGTAACAGCACAACATAAGACAAAACTGTAAAAATCCGTTGCAATTGGCTTAATTCAATAGATCGTTATGACTAGGCAATATAAATCCATCAAAATATTTGGGTGATCTCGGATGCTCCGGAAGGGTAAGCAGATCCTGCTCAACGTGTGGCAACCGTCGTGTTATTCGTGAAAGTACAAACCCAGTGATTTGGTATAATCTGGTGGGTCACATTCAAGGAAAAAAGGACGGGATTGTGGTTACGACAATTGGAACATATCCGTCGTCACCTGTGAAACAGATATTCCAAAAAGATTTTTTTTCAACTTAGTGCGAGGTATATCAGAGAATGCAATTTATAAAAATAAAAGGTTGATATTCGTTTATGTTCAAATGATCATACACGCTATAAAAAAAAATCGGAGAATTCTTATTTTATAGAATGGATGCTTTGTCGCTTAGTTTGTTCCTTCCGTTTCCCTGTAACTTTAGTGTGAGTTTATTAAAAGTGTCTCATTTGTTGACAATAAAGTGCAAGTCATTTGATTTGTGTCGAGCATGTGACATTATACCTATATTCCGTCGTCGGTAGTGGCGTCGGCGTCTTCATCATTTAGATCGTTATGTTTCTCGTTTGAATTTTTTTACATTTGTCATATCGGGACCTTTTATAGCTTACTATGCGGTATGGGTTTTGCTCATTGTTGAAAACTATACAGTGATATATAGTAATGAACTGCGTCGGATAGAAATCGACCTTATGCAAATGAAT